GCTAGCTTAGTCGCTCTGTAATTGAGGAGTGCTTTATGGTAATCCTCTGGATTCTTTTTGATCAATGCTTTGGCGGTCTGTACAGCTCGCTCCGCTTCTCCATTTGCTTGTGGATAGCGAGGACTTGACGTTCTGTGTTCAAAAGCGTAGTCGTTTGCGAATGCTTTGAACGCGTCTGAATCATATTGAGGACCATTGTCCGATATCAAAGTGTCCGGAATACCATGCCTCGCGAACGTTGCCTTCATCTTTTCAACTATGACATCACTTGTCGTCGTAGTTAATAATTTTACTTCGACGAACCGCGAGTAGTAGTCAACAATTAATAAGTAAGTGTTCCCTTTCAAGTGAAACAAGTCAGTCGCCACGATTTTCCATGGGCGAACCGGTATAGGTGTTTGCATTAACGGCTCTCGTTGGACGTTTTTGTTTTCTGCGCACATGTAACATGAATTTACTATGTCCTCTATTTGGCGGCTTAGACCTGGCCAATACACAGACGACCGTGCTCTTTCACGGCATTTGACTATACCCATGTGGCCTTCGTGAATTTTCTCAATTATATCTGGACGTAACACAGATGGTATGAACAATCGATCACCTTTGAAGATGATTCCCTGGGCGATTGACAGATCGCTTCTTACACTCCAAAACGGCTTTATCGCATCTGGAACGTCAGCTTTATGGTCTGGCCAACCGTCGAGAACATGTTTAGCCAATGTTCTACTCACTGGGTCTGCTGCGGTAGCATCGCGTATTTGCTGTAAGCGTTTGTCAGATGCTGGTAGGTTTCCTACGACGCAGTTAACGTATGCTTCCACTTGAGTTTCCAGTGCATCCTTCGCATTTTCGGTAGACTCCAACGGCGCTCTCGATAGAGTGTCCGCTGCGTGCATGTCCTTCCCAGGCACGTAGATTGGGTCATAATCATATCTCATTAGGCGCATTCGGAAACGTTGTATTCGTGGGGGCAACTCGTTAATCGCTTTACTACCTAACAAGGCAATGAGTGGCTTGTGGTCTGTCTCTATCACAAACTTCAGACCGACTAGGTTGTCGCTGAATTTTTCGCATGCCCATGTGGATGCGAGTGCCTCCTTCTCTACTTAACAAATCGCGTAGAGGCTTGGTCTTCTCTGCCAAGTCAGGCACAAATTTTGCTAACTGGTTTACCATTCCTAAAAATCGACGCACGCCGCCGACATCACTGGGTGGTTTCAAATGTTTTATCGCATTGATCTTGTCTGGATCGGGTTTTATCCCCTCAGAATTGATGACATGCCCAACAAATTTAAGCTCTCGCTTCTTAAATTCGCATTTCTTCGAATTCAGCGTTACACCAGCTTTTCTCATGTTTTCAAGTACCGCTTTGAGTCTGCGGTCGTGTTCAGCTTGATCCTTACCGTAGATAAGAACATCATCGACTATGCACGCGACACCGTCGAGTCCTTCGATTATCTTGAACATTTCGTTTTGAAAGTGTTCGCTTGCTGAGTTAAGACCGTATGGTAACCGCGTAAAGTGGTAACGACCAAACGGCGTTATGAACATCGTGAGTTTAGCCGATTCCTCTGACAATGGAATTTGCCAGAAACCGCTATTCGCGTCCAGCTTAGAGAATACACTAGCTCCTGAAATACCTGCAAGTGTATGGTCAACAACGGGCATCGGGTAAACTTCCCGTTTCACGCTCACGTTCAATTTTGTGAGATCAACGCAGATTCTCACGTCTTCACCATTCTTCTTCGGAACTACTACAATTCCTGCACACCACTCTGTTGGCTTTTCAATTCTCCGAATTACGCCAAGTGCTTCCATTTGCTCCAGCTCGCTTTTTACTTTTGGGAGCAGGGGTATTGGGATTCTGCGTGGAGTGTTCGACGCGTAAGGTTTGGCGTCTGGTTTCAACTCTATAGTGTAATCGCCTTCGAGCTTACCTAAACCCGTAAATAAATCCGCGTACTCCTTTCTGATATCGGTAGCGTCATTAATTTCATCGACTTTGTGTCTGGTTATGAGCCCCAATTTTTCAATGATCGGCCTGCTTAGTAGCGCTCGCCGTAAGTTTTCAACCACGTAAGCGTTTCCCTTTGCGACCTTTTTAGTTCCGTTGCACACAACCTCGAATTTGGCCATGAACATGCCGATTACTTTGAGCTGATCATGTCCAGGTCCATGCAATGTTACGTTTGGCTTTTTAAGCTTCTTGATACATTTAGCTGCTAGATCCTTTGGAACTACAGTGACATCCGCGCCCGAGTCTAACTTGAATTCTTCGGACACATTGTTAATCTTTACAGTACTAGTCCATGGTTTACTAGTAGTTACTCAATTTATGTTGACCTCATCGAGATACAATAATTCGCTTACATTTTGCGATGCTGCTGCGGACAAACACTTCCATGCGAAGTGGCCCTTCTTGCCGCATTTGTGGCACTTTGCGTCTTTCGCAGGACACTTATATCGGGCATGTGCGTTTCTGCCGCACCGACCACATTGTGACTTCGCTTTGTCATTATGCTTTCGCGTTGGCCTAGCGCTTTGCTCAACTCGCTTATATCTAGGCTTACTATGTGCTGGCTTATAAACCGCATCTACCACTTGGGGAGCTTCTTGTCTAACTACAGATTGTTGCTTCTTTATTGCTTCTGTTTCTCGTGCTAGTTTAACTGCTTTTTCGAGCGTTAATTTCGGGTCAAGCTGCATTTTCTCCGCTAGCTTTGTGTCTAACAACCCTACCACTATTCTGTCTGTCTCTTATACACATCTAGATGTGTATAAGAGACAGGCTTTATGGTAATCCTCTGGATTCTTTTTGATCAAGGCTTTGGCGGTCTGTAC